TTAAACATGAAACCAGTGCGCCATATTCCCCACACCAAAATGGCACTGTAGAGAGAGCGTGGCGGAGTTTATTTAGCATGGCTAGATGCATGCTATTAGAAGCAAATCTCCCCAAACGTTTGTGGACGTATGCCGTAATGACAGCGGTGTATATTAGAAATAGGTGTTTTAATTCTAGGTTAGGAAAAACTCCGTATGAAGCACTGACAGGTAAGCAACCTAATCTGAGCAATATGCATATCTTTGGCTCAACATGCTATGCCTTTGTTCAAAATGTTAAGAAATTAGACGACCGGAGCCGTAAAGGTGTTTTTGTAGGTTATGATAAAGACAGTCCAGCATACTTGGTATACCACCCAGAAACAAACAAAGTGGAAAAGGTAAGATGCGTGAAATTTTTTGATAATTTTGAAACTGAGCCTGAGGCGTCTAATGACAACCAAGAATTAATTGTGCCAAATAAAGAACATGTTGAGACTACGGTAAATGCTAACGAGCTGCCTCAGCAAATGGATGAAAATGCTGGTACAGCAGAGGTAGAGAACAACGCGGCGAGATATCCAACACGCACTCGCAACAAACCAAGGTATCTTGATCAGCCTATTATTGACGACAATGTTAACCGCACTGTTGATTATTGCTTTAGGGCTGTAGACATTCCAAAATGTTACAAGCAAGCAACAAAATCGCTGGAGGCTAACAAGTGGCAAAATGCCATGAATGCAGAGGTAAGCGCATTAAACGATAACAATACGTTTGAGTTAGTCCCACCACCAAAGGATCGACAGATAGTGGGGGGAAGATGGGTTTACGCCGTAAAAATCGGCCAAAATGGAGAAGAAACCCATAAAGCAAGATATGTAGCTAAAGGGTATTCTCAAATTCCTGAGATTGATTATCAGGAAACGTTTGCCCCGACAGCTCGCATGAGCTCAATTCGTGCATTGCTACAACGTGTTGTGCAGAATGACATGATCATTCACCAAATGGATGTCAAGACCGCCTACCTTAATGCGCCTATAGATTGTGAGCTCTATATGGAACAACCAGAAGGTTTTGAGGAACATGGTGAGAATGGTGAAAAATTAGTATGTAAATTAAATAAGTCATTATATGGTTTAAAGCAAAGTGGGAGAAACTGGAATAATTTATTACACGAGTATCTGCAAAAGGAGGGTTTTATTCAGTCACAGGCTGATCCATGTGTGTATGTGAGAATGATTGACTCGAAGCGATGTGTTATAGTAATTGTATGGGTTGACGATATCATTATCGCAGCCAGTCATTTTGAATTACTAACAACTGTAAAAGAATCTTTAGGCGAAAGGTTCAAAATGAAAGACCTAGGTAAGCTATCGTGGTTTTTAGGTACAGAGTTTAAATGCAAGGAATCGTGCATCGAAATGAATCAGAAACAATATATTGAAAAAGTATTGTTAAAGTTTGGGATGGCTGATTGCAAGCCCAAGCCTACTCCATGTGTTTTAGGTATCGAGAAGGTCTCAGACGAAGAATCACCAAGCTTAAAAGACCCAGGTGAGTATAGGGCTATTGTTGGGAGCTTAATATACGTTATGACAGGCACCAGGCCTGATTTGTGCTATATAGTGACGAAGCTCTCACAGAAAATGTCTAAGCCCACAAGAGCCAATCTCGACTTGGCTAAACACGTTTTAAGGTATTTGAGGGGTACATCTGAGCAAGGTTTGACATTTAGGAAGTCAAACGTTCCGCTAAGGTTGAACGGATTTTGTGACTCCGACTGGGGCGCATCAGTAGCCGACAGGCGGAGTATAACTGGCTATAATTTTCAGTTGTCTTCAACAGGTCCTTTAATATCCTGGAAGAGCCGTAAGCAACCAACAGTTGCACTCTCTACATGCGAGGCAGAATATATTGCGCTTGCAAATGCCGTACAGGAGGCAAAATTATGTATCGACATGAAGGTAAGTATAAGGGATGATAATGTACTTATTCAAGTAGATAATCAGGGAGCTATAAACTTAGCTAGAAATCCCGTACACCATCAAAGGTCGAAACATATAGATATTAAGTATCATTTTATAAGATCCGAGATACAGGTAGGTACCATAAGTTTGAAATATGTTCCTACTGAGGACAATATAGCTGACGTCTTCACAAAGCCAGCTAGCAAAGGTAAGTTGGAAAAATTTAAGCACTTCATGTTAGGTTTATAAATGCGCTGCGTAATACAAATATATTAGAAATTAAAAAATTATTGATGTAATTTATAGATGCTCAGAACATAAGAGCAAGTGGGGGTGTTAGAATATGCTCCTGATATTCTGTTGACAATGATAATAAGATTATTAGTTAATGAATGACATTGATTACTATAGATATGTATGAAATGTAATCTCTGGATACCACAAATTCCAGTACAAATAGTTGCTCCATGTACCAAACTGTATACCATTTATGGTAATAGAATGTGATATGTCAAAATACTTATTATAGATATAATCTTGTATATATATGTGTGATTTTTATTATTAAATACATTCTTTTGTAAAACTCCAAAGTTGTATGTTGTGCTTCGTATTCGAGAAAGAGCGATGGCAACGGTACAAAACCCAACACTTTTTTTCCTCAGACGCGAGTCAACAGGCCATGCCAAATAAAGCATTTACAGTGTTTATGTTAAGTTTTTTGTTTCAAATTCAATGATTGATTTAAATTAGATTTTTGACATTAAAATAAAGGCTCTCTGATGCTTTGGTGGAGGCTGCTTTGGTGGAGGCGAAGTCAAGAATTATATATAGGTAATTCATAAAGAAAAAATTCACTACAATAAAAATATTGCATGGTTTTGTATTGTATTATTTCTGATATATAGTAAGTTAAAAAGAGCAAGGATTACGCGTATTAGTAGTAGTCGGTCCAGTACATGGCAGATATACACATATTTGAAGAGCAATAATTAATTCCCTTAAGCATTGATTACAGCCGAGCTGCACTACCATGCACACCGTCACCAGTCAAGAGTCATGTCACCCTTGCTCCAAACATATTTTCCACCACGTTTATAAAACATTTGTTCATCAAAACCACTCGCGTTTAAAGCATTTTGAACCCCGACATCGAGAATAGATTTTGAAGGAATTTTGCTTCCTTTAGTATTATCAAGAAACCGCATCTATCAAATAAAGAAAAAACAAACCGTGAAATAAAATTCACCCACGTACTCTACGAGCACTTCGCCTAAATTTAAAAAAATCAGTTTGGGTTAGTTACTTGTCTGTCCACTGGAGCTGGGTTACAAAATTTTATAAATTTTATAATGAAAACATAACAGATAAGTTATTGATTAAATTCCACCACTTGACCCCCACTCCCGCTTAAAGGTGAGTGTTTTTGCTGTCTCTAGAACGCCGTCTGTTTCCTGCTTTTCAAAAGTAATAATTTAATATTTGCCTTTGAAAGGGCTAGCCACAAGAGTGGGTTACAAAATTTTATTAATTTTAATAATAAAAACATAAATATAAATATAAGATATTGATTAAATTCCACCACTTGCCCCCCCCCTCCCCCAAGTAAAATATGAATTTGCTGTCTCCAGAATGCTGTTTATTTTCTGCTTTTCAGAAGTAAATTATTTAATGAGATTTTTGCGGTCTCTAGAACGTTATTTCCTCCAAATGATATTTTGAATTCATTGCTAAACAATTTTCCTTAGGCACTGTCAAGTCACTGTTCAATTGGCAAATTTAGTAAATTTAGAGGAGAGACTAATATCAAGAAAAGTAATGGTATTTGACTTACGTATTCATCCAGAATCAAATACGAATTACGCATCTGCAATATAAAAGTATAGTTTGGTAAGAATTAATAATTATGGGAGTTCAGTTTAAGCTGGTGTTATTAAGAACAAGACGCCGACTCGGCGTTAACCTCGGGTCGGTGGATAGGGGATCGTCTGGTAAATATCCAAAAATTGTGTAAATCACGATAGTTTAATAGTTCACTAGTATAAATGGTGAATCAGTTAATCAAAGCTCCGTTTTAATATTTTATTGACAATAATTACTGGCCCTAGCCTCATCAAACCTATTGTTTTCTCTCTGCATTATATCAGCGAATGTCGAGAAGTTTTCATTTAACGTTCTACTGAAAAACGGGAGCGGCCTTTTTGGTTGTATAGGGAAATTCCGGCTCAGGGGTAAATGTTTATACGCGTCATATTCTATGTACGCGTTAAAATAGCACACAACATTATTAAAAATAATGCAGCGTGCATCAGTGCACACAGACAATATTAGCAATAATGCATCTTCGTCACTCTGACATGTACACGCGATAACGTGAACATTCCAAGATGAGAAGGTGACAGTGCTAAAGGCCCCCCATACGGTGTCGTCGGGTGCCTGAAGCACTGTTGGAAACGGTCGCTGTGAGTCTTTTCAGTTCAATTTTATAGAGAAATAGTTTCGTTTGCGCTTGTGGGATTTTATCCTAGATATACGCATGTGCAGAAT